CTACCCCTGCATCTAATGATCTGGTGATCTGATCGTAAAAGGCCACCAGGTTGGTCTGACAGGACCTGCCACTGATGAACCCGTGTTGGTTGCCCCTAAGCATGCAGTCCCCTGCTGGCCCCTCCTGGATGTGTGCCAGAATAATTTTCTCGAACAGCTTGCCTAGGATTGAGGTAAGACTAACTGGCCTATAGTTTCCCGGGTCCTCCCTCCTCCCTTTTTTGAAGATGGGAACCATGTTGGCCCTCTTCCAGTCCTCTGGCACCACACCAGAGCACCACAAATGCTCGTAAAGCCGTTAATTGAACTGTGAAAGACAAATAAATAAGAAGAAAAACTAGAAAGGCGTATTCTTGATTCTAATTGTGGGTATTTTCCATAATATCCAAATAAAGTATAACATTGCCTTGTGGTGGGAAGTCTTTTATAATACTTCTCAGTATTTCCATGGATATTTAATTCCATGAAGAATTTAATAGCCCACTTACTAAAAGAAATGTGGCAGAAAGATTTCCATTTTCAACAAGTGCGACTAGCAGTAACCGGAATATAAGAGGATAAAAAGAATCAATAGGTAGACTTTGAACATGGCCCAACAAAGCTAACCCCTTCCTGAGAGAAGCTGATTTGTGTCCCAAAATTATTATAACAGCAAAATCATAGTTGTGCCCAAAAGTAATTGGCAAGAGAAAATGTGCAGCTCATACAGTCAGTACCATGTGGTCTCTAGTGTAAAGTCTGAAGAAATTGGCATTCTAGCTATTGTCAGAAGCCAATGGAACTACTCCTGAGAGCAACAGCTCACCAAAGTGAGTAAGGGCTTATGGTTTATCATTCAGAGAACAAACTGGAGAAATACATATCCTGCGTGAATTATTTATTGGTGTTCTCACTTGTTCCCACAATACATTAGAGACTGTATGGAAATAGGGGGGAACAGTCCCTTCCCCAACGATATTTCAATCTAAAACAACTGATGGGCTAACAGAAGGTATGAGGGACAAAAGTAGGCAGGGTGATGTTCCTAATATGTTGATAAAACATTAGAAATAACTGTGGATGGTATCTAGTTAGCCTTCAACTCTACTGTTATTAGTTGGCCACTTGCTTATAGGCATCATGGCAGAAATGGGTCTTTGTGAGGGATCTGAATGTAGAGAAAAGGGTGGTCTTTTGGGGAGGGTCAAATAGGATTTTCCTCAGGTAGGGCATGGTCTGGAAGAAACCACAGTACAATGTAATATTTTGCAATTAAATACAAGGAGCAAAAAAGGCTCTTACGGGTATGCTTTTTCTTTAATTAAACAAGCATTATTTTTTATGGGAAAATTGTATATTTTCTATGATGTGTTATTTTGTTAATACATCTTTTGTAATACCAGAAATTTATCCATGGTTGGCTCTGGCTTCAGGAGAAAGCTGCTTAATTGTGCTACACATTGTATAATTAAAGTACCTCTTTAATAAATGTGATTTTTATTTAGAGCTATTTAATCTGGAAATGTGGAAGGTGCTTGCCAGGAAAGTAGCTAGGCATGAGATGCAGTGGGTAGTCTAAATTGTCTGGATTCAAACTAAAATATCTAAGCGTTAGCAGGAACTCCGTCAGTGAGAATGCATGGATTCCCTACTTTTGTGATTAAATTGTTTCAGTAAATATTATCACACATGTAGATATTTTCAACAGTGAAGAGGGTAGGAATGGTGGAGAGAACTGATTTATTCAGCAAAGAAACTGTTATCTTTTAAAAGGACATATTGATTTAATTTGGGAGGGTGAAATAATAAAGTAACAAAAAAAGTTACCAGTAGCTAATGCAGAGCTGTTGCTTGGCGGGAAGAGGAAAGTACCCCCTCAGATTTGTTTGTAAAATGTGGCACATCGTATTCTCAACAGACAGTTCAGACAAAATTAGCATAGTGTGAGCCAAGCAATGTAGTATGGTAAGAACCCTGGCTTTGTTATTCATTTCCATTTAGTTTCTCCTAAGAATTACTACATGAAGGAAAAGCTTAAGTTGCAGGGATTTTCCATCTTGTAAAAATAAGATTTATTTGCTAAACTGATATAGGACACCTAGGTAATTATGTCAGTCTGCACCTGTCAAACAAAAGGCACTATCTAAGTTGAATTATGTATGCTTGGTCTTTACTTTGATAGCTGTTTTGCACATAGAGTTCTTTAGAGATATAAAGCAACTGAAGCTGCTGTCCCTGGTTCCTGGCTGCTGAAACAGCCTCTTATTGATGCCATAAGCAGCTGAAAGTAAATTATAGAAGTTGTGCTGGTGACTGGCAGAACCTTCCACTGGTTTCAGGTTTGTGATGGAGGGGTAGAAGATTAATGTAAAATAAAGCCATTTTGCCTTTCTACAGTCTTTGCTATATGCACCTTGGGTAAAGCTTAAGACCAAGGCATTGTTAAAAGCACTAAGAAGACATATTACAAGTATTCTTATAAAAGTTTTGGGTAGCTCAAGGAAAAGGAGGGCTGATGACTACATACAGTGGAGGAAGCAGTTTTGAGAGTCAGATTCACATCTCAGTTATATTGGTATACAATCTTTGAGTAATTGGCACTTCCCAGTATTAAAAATAAGAAACTCAAGTTAGTCTGCCCCTTTTGATAAAAACAAATGTGGGCAGATAGGATTTTACTCTGAGTCTTGCCCCTTAGATCTGGGATAGAAGTTCAATAAACCGATTTAACCTAAATCAGTTAAGTCTGATACTACATCCATCCAGGTTTATCTTAAACCAGTTTCAGCCATTTTGAAAGTGGTTTATGTGCACTTAACTTTTGTTGTGTTACAGATTTGAACTGGTTTCTGACCACTTAAACTGATTTATGTGTAATGTCTGTCCCTAGTCTTAGCCACACATGTGGTCTGCCATTCAAAATGTATCCTGGCTACAAAAGAGGAAGTAGCTCCTGAATGTTGGTCCATCAGTTATTGCCCTAAAACCTTCAATTAGCAAGCTGTTCAGAGCAGAGACCCTGTTGACTTTTATTTGTACTACTTCAGTTCTGATCATAACATAAATATATATTTCATAATTATTAAATATATGTTTTATTTCTGATTCCATGTATCTAATTCTACACATTTCCCTGGTTTTTCTTTTTCAGTTGTAGACTTTTGTGCAGTGGATAACCAAGGCTGCCAACACGAGTGTGTTAATACAGATGACTCCTACTACTGTAAATGCCATCCAGGGTTTATTTTAAACCCTGATAAAAGAACTTGCAGAAGTAAGTTGGGGAAAAATATTAAGTATGATAAATTTGCTCTCCTTGTACTCTCTCTTTTCCCTGATAATTCTCCATTGCTCCTGAGAACATTTGTAGAATGTCTATTTATAAATGAAACAATGTTAGATCAGAAGAGCAAGAGAAGTTTTCTCCTTCTCTATAAACAAGAAGTTCTTGCCCTGAGATCTTGCTTCTTCTGGTAGTTAAATCAAAATTCTCTGTTTTGCATGGCCCCTCTGATTATAGCACTTCTTTATTTTAAGTGTCATATTTCCTAACTCAATAGATCAGGAAAATGGATCAGTTTTACAGAACACAATTTCTAAATTGTCTTTTGTTTATAAAACAAGTGTAATAATGAAATGCAAAAAACCCAACATTAATGTAGTAGTAAAATTGCACAGCTAAGTATGCTGCACTCAGGAATTATGAAAGGAAAGGCCAAAAGCACAGCCTTACCTCTGTTTCTGTGTACCTTATGAGAACAGATTTTTTGTCAGTGTGTGTAGATACGTTTAATTCCATTAACTACTCTAGAGTTGCATCGTTATACCAGTAGCAAATTTAGTCCATATTATATAATGATATGAGCAAGAATGATTTCTTAAATTAAGCAGTGCAATATAACACATTGTTTCTGCATCCTTGCAATCCCATAGAGATCTAGGATAACCTGTGACTGTGTAAAATTGTATCATAAAACTTTACACGGCAGAAGAAAGCTAGTGTCTGTCAATGTAGTTCGCCAAAGACTGACAAGGTCTGTTAGGACTGCATGCCACAAAATTATTTCCATACCTATGCATGTATATAGCCATATGACTGTGCCATTTAAAATATTACTCATACTTCCTACTGCCTGAGCAGTGGTCCAGATCAAATGTTGCTCCTTCCAAAATATGGAGGCTTCTAAAATGTCATATTTTTTCAGATTAGATTGATAAAAGAATTTGAAACTCAAGGGATCCTCAGTGTGGGGATTCCCTTCCCCCTCCCAAGCCCCATGCAGATAGATATACAGAAACTACAAATATACCTTAAACACCTTTATAAATACCAAGCTAAATATCAGTTATAGGGAATACATTGATACAAGCTTTGAATCCTTAAAATAATTGGAAACCAATTAAAACCTATAGTTCATTTTGACCAGTTTAAAATACTTCAAATGCATTAAATAAATTTAAACTGGGGAAGAACATTCAAAACTCTACAATTTAGATAAACCAGGGAGGGGCACTAAGATATTGATAAATCAGGAGTCAGGCATGTGCTGAAGTCAGGGCAGCACTTGGTGTGGAGGGGACTGGAATGATCTTACAGCTGCTGAATTCAAACATAAATAACTTCAAAACTTATCTATCCACTTCTGTGCAAATTGGCCTGAGCCTTGCAGATGAGACCAAGAATGAAGAAAGAGGGTCAGGTAGTTTTTAAAGTTGCAAGTGATAAGACCAGATCAGAGCAAGAGCACATTATTATTCCCCAGTGCTCTAAATCACTCTGGGTTTGAGTCAGCAGAAAAAACACAAAGGGAAATGCTTGAAGTAGCTTTTTTTGAAAAGTTCATCCCAACCCAAGCTATGTCCCAGTCCCCCAGCACCCCAGGATGTATTGGGGTTCCCACTATCCTCCTCACAGGGCAGGCAAGCTAGCTTTGGCTGTGCTGTCTGCTCCAGCTGAGCTGGGCCTAGCCCCATCCTCACCCCAGAGCTGTCACAGCTGAAGTAGCAACACCTCTCTCCCCAGCCTGTGCCTACCAGCCATGTGGGCCAGTGGAGAGGGGTAGGGGTAGGGGAGGTTGGGAACAGAGCCCTCAGCCCTGGTCCCAAGCCCTGGTCTGTGAGGGTTGTCCCTTGTCTCAGGTCAGGTGCAAGTCACTGACTAGCTGAGGGGAGGGGGTTAGGAGTCCCCCTTCCTGGCCAGACCCCAAGCCTAGCATCTGCTCATGTGGGGGGGACCCTAGTGCCTGGGGAGTTTCCCTTGGCAGGCCCAGGACTGCCCCAAACACTGGTCTGCCTAGCTGTGGGGAGTAGTTTTCACCCCCATGGCCTCCCCCTGTGTCTGGGCCAGCGTGAGCCACTGACACACAGTGAGGAGGGTCCCATCACCTGGCACAAACCTCTGGGGATGCCCAGCATCTCTTGTCAGCTGTCGCTGGTGCTGAGCTCCAGTGGGAGGCACCAGGCAGCCCAGAGAGTTTGCACAGGCAGTGGGGCCTGATCCTGCCCTATGTGAATTGCTCCCTTCCCCACCACCAGGTGCCATAAGTGGATTAATGGACAGCAGGGGGACAAAAATGGTGCCAAGTTTAAAACCATGGCTTTTGCATTTGCTTCCCTATGAGCTAGGAGCAGGACCCCTCCACCAATGAGGCCAGGCTTGGCTAGGCCAGGCTGGGAGTGCCACCCCACGGTGCAGCTGGGGTAGGGGGAGCAGGCCCAGGCCAGGCCAGGAGTGCCACGCTGCACCTCTGTGGGCAGGCAGGCAGAGGCGCTGGGGGTGTCTTGGTGGGCTGTCGCCACCCCAAAATGCATCTTAGCCCTCCCAGCAATCTGCCCACCTGCAGAGACATAGTGCAGCACTTGTGGCCCAATGTGGCTCAACACTGTGCATGTCCTGGGCCACATGGGACACAGCTGGGCAGCACCTCCCTGCAGGTAAGTCTAATAGGGGCTAGGGCCGGGAGCTAGATGGAGCCACGGGCAGCTCATAGCTGGGGGTGGGGGGATGGGGGCGCTGCCTCAGCATGATCTTGAGAGGGGGAAGGGGGAGGTTCTGTGAGGGGAAAGTGTGTCTGGGTGTGCATGTGTGTGCATCTGTCTGTCTTTGTGTCTCTGTCTGCATGTGTGCATCTGTCTGTGTGTGCGTCTGTGTGATGGGGTGTGTGTGCGCATCTGTGTGTGCATCTTTGAGTTGGTGTGTGTGCACATCTGTGTGTGGGTGCATGTATCTGTGTGTCTGTGTGTGTGCATCTGTGTTCATGGCAAGGGGAGTGTGTTTCTGTCTGTGTGTCCATTTGCAGAGAGTGAGTGAGAGCAGAGCGCATGCCTGTCTGTGAGTGCCCATGTCTGTGCGCATCTTCAGCTGTAGCAGGGGAGGAAGGGGCAGGGAGTAGGGAGAAGAGGCAGGCATGTGCTCCCCCACCCCAGTCTGGTGGGGTCCTGTCAGCACCAGAAAGGGAAGGGGCCCTTCCCCCGCCCCCCCCATCCAGCTCCCATGGGGGGAGGGGCCTCCAATTTTGTGTTTGCCCAGGGCCCCAGTACACCTTAATCTGCCCCTGCCAGGTGCAAGCCCCCCAGGAGCCTGGCGCATCCCACCAGAGCCTGGTACTAGCAACAGCCAGCAAGATGTGCCAAGCAGCCCAGAGCACTCCATAGAAGGCAGGATTGGGCCCTGCTGCCCAGCGCATCTTGCCAGGTGCTGCTGGTGCCAGGCTCCAGTGGGACATGCCAGGCGGACCAGGGGTCTTGAACCAAGTGGCAAGGACAGGAGCGCTCCACAGAAGGCAGGATCGGGCCCCACCACCCAGCACAAGCCCCTGAGGCTGCCTGACACATCCCACCAGAGCCCAGTGGCAACTGGCAAGATACAATGGGCAGCCCAAGCGGCTTGTGCTGGGCTGCAGGGCATGATCCTTCTTTCTATGGAGCCAGCCCAACTAGGCAGGGATGGGGAAAAACCCCTGGGGCCCAGCCCCCACAGCTAGGAAGACCCCACCTCAGGGGGCTAAGACTGTGGTGGGGGGATTCATTCCCGCTCGCCCCTGCATGTCAGTGATTCACACCAGCCCAGCCACAGAAGGGGAACCCCTCCCCCCACAGCTGGGCAGACCAGGGCTCAGGGGATCCCCAATGTGGGGCTCTCCCCATGTGAGAAAATGCCAGGCTATGGGGCCAGTCCCAGGCAGGGGGACTCCTTTCCCCCTTTCCCATGTGTATCAGTGACTCACGCCAATCAAGCCCCATGGGAGGAATTACCCTCATCACCCACCTCTCTTTCCCCATCCCTGCCCCCCTCTCCCCCCCCTCCCCGGCAACTCCTGCAGCTGGGCAGACCAGGGGTGGGAGGATCCCAGGCCAGCCTGTGGAGTGGAGCTTCCCCTGTGGCCAGATGCCTGGTTTGCAGGACCAGCACTATAAGGGGAACTCCTTCTCCTGTGGGAGCAAGCTGGGAGGTATGCTCTAGTACCCTTTGTCTTCTGGCCCAGGTCAGGCCTCTGCTTGCCTTTCCCAATTGAAAACGAAAGTCAGTTCAGTCGGTTATCGGTTCAACCTATGCTCCCGATAGGCAGCATCAACCGATTCTCCCTTGGGCTTTTTGACTCTCTATGTTTAGCCCATGAGTTTAAAACTCTTGAAATTATTCTCTACAAATTTGACTTCAACTCACATCTCGTTGATAAACCAGGCCAAAATTCACATTGGTGCTAAGGCAGAGGCACTATATCCCCATGACTAGGACTCCAGTTCCAGAGAGTCAAGTGATTACCTTAGATTTTTCATTTTCTTTTGCAAAGGTAAGTGTTTAGCCCCTCTGGTTATGAAGACAAAGCTTGAAAACATAAATAATGTTACCAGTTCAGTGATGTGTGATTAAACCAGCAGACAGCCCAAAACAAAAGGTCTCTGAGGAATGAACTACTATTTTGAACTGGTTCAATGTGAGCTGGTTCAGGGTTAGGTATGGACACCAAGGGCTCTTGCACACGTGATGGTGTCATGATGTACTCGTGACAGAAATTTCCCTTTGTGTGGCTTAATGGCATCACACATTACACGTACGTGAGTTTTGGGGGGTTTAAATGAGTTTGCATCCTTGCAAACTAAACTATATCCCAGTGTAGTTTAATTTGTAATGTTGCAACTTGGAACATTGCAGCTACTACTCAGCTCGCCCCCCAGCAATGTGAGAGGTGGGCAGGGTCTGCCAGAATTAAAGGATTGGGCCCCTCTCACCGCTTCAGCCTTCAGCAGGCTCCTGTGGCTGGCAGGATGGCTGGGGCCACCTGGGAATGGGCTGGCTTGCTTCTGGGGCAGTGCAGGGAGGTGGCAAGAGGGCAGCTGAGTCTTCTGGCAGCCAGAGAAGGCTGCAAGGACAGTGCACAGTGCAGTGGAAGACCAGGTGGGCTGCCCAAGCCTACCTGGGCTTCCAGCACCCTATGCACCAACCCCACTGCCTTCTCCAGCCACCAGCTCACCCAGCCACCCTCCTGCTGCTGCACTCCCCCCCACCCCTTCCTGCCCCAGGATGAAGCCAGCCCATTCTCAAGCAGCCCCAGGTGTCCTGTCAGCTGCAGGAGTCTGCTGAAGGCAGAAGTGGCAAGGGGCCTGATCCATTTTTCTGCAAAGCCTTCCTGCCTCTCCTGTGGCCAGGAAGCGAGCTGACAGATTAATGGCATAAATTAATGGCCCCCTGGCAGGACAGGCAGGCAGGCTCTGCCAAAAAAACAAAAAAAGGATCGGGCCCTCACTGCTTCTGACTTCAGTGGGCACCTGTGGCCGCCAGGTCAATAACAGAGATACAGTGACAGAAAAATAAAACCTACCATTTCAATAAAAAACTCATCATTTCAATGTAGGGGGCATAGAATGCCACCCTAAGGACTAAAACCCTGCAGTGTGTACAAGTGCCCCAAGTGTTCTTGGCAACCTTTGTGTCTCACATAGAGTTTTGCATCTCAAAAATCACATAAAAAACAAGCCAATGTCATTCAAACACTGGTGCTGCTGGTGAAATAATGCCCCTATATGATGAATGCCATTCACAAGTACACTTGATGTAAACTGATTCACTTAACATAATGCATATGTAACTTGCATGCAGTAAAATAACATAATTATGAGTTTTGTTTAAAAACAAATCAATGTTTTCAGTGTGACCTACAGTATTTGGCTGCAAAATTCTCAGAAATACTGATAACGCTAACTTCCGTATAGCCCTTTGAAAAATTATCTTCCCAGGGTTCATTAAAAATATTTCTCATGTATTGTAGTCTGTGTGAACGCTGAACAGTTTGTTTTAAATACTTGAAACAGTATGGCAAGAAGTCAGGACAATGTCCAGAAAAAGAAATAGTAATTGAAATGAAGTGAGGTCATTGGGTTTCTTTATCCCATTTCTGTTTTATTTTCAGGACCGGATTACTGTGCTTCAGAAAACCATGGCTGTCAACAGGAGTGTGTTAATTTAGATGATTCTTATTTTTGTCAATGCCGACAAGGATTTACTCTTAATCCAGATAAGCGAACTTGCAAAAGTAAGTTGACCTAAGCGCATCAGGGCATCTGCTTTAACTTTGCACACAAGTAGAAGGCTTTTTGGAAAAATCATAGTCTCTTCCATTGTAAAGACTGAAACACTTTTCCCTTTATGCCTGATTTTTAACTTATCTCTCCCCAGCCTCCTTCCCCACAACTTTGCCATAATTATACTGCTCTGTCTGATATTTCACAGGCCATATTTTACATTAGATTTTTTTTTCCTGGAGAGTTCGAAGTAAATATGGAGAGTAATGAAGGATATTGATACTCATTACTTCTTTAAATGTTCCTAATTTTTTAGTTTGTCATAACACAAATGGATTTCTGCAAATGCTTCATATTTTCTTTGTTATTTTAGTTTAGCCAAGGAGAGATAGATGCCTTTGACTAGTTCTGGGAATGGCAATATTATTTAGGTTCTAAAAGTAGCTTTAGTGTTCCTTAAGTGTTAAACATGTCCCCTAAATCACCATACCACTTTCTTAAACACTTAGAAATTAGCCTCAGCTGTATCAAGCTTCTTAATCAGGGCATGTATATATGCTGCTTTCCTCAGGACTCCTGCATGGAGCAGCTCCTCCAGCCTGGGGCCTCCAAAACAGAGGCATCTTGTGTCATTCTTAAGACTTGAGCAAAACTTGCAATCACACAAGGAATTAGTTTTGCTAGATGCATGAACCTAGTGAAGATACAGCAGCATTGTTTCATTAATTGAAAGTTCACGTTGGTAAAGCTAAGAAAATAAACTTTTTTCAAATATGATTTTTTTTTTGTCATCCTAAAAATTTCTGTTTTGGTTTGTGTTTTCTGCACTAAGGAAATATACCTGTGTCATATTGTCATTTAATATACCCATGTCATTTTGAATAGTAGTCTACATTATCACTGTTAATTAATTTTTAAATTGCATTGTGAATATATTTGGTACTTTTAGGTTTAGAATGCCTTGAGCAGGGAAGGAGCAAAGGACTGAATACTGAAAACATTTCCAAGCATAATGCCTAGTGTGAGGAAAACAATTGAGAACAAAAAGCATGATCCAAATTTCCTTAAAATCAGTGGGAGCCTTTCCATAGACTTTGGATCAGGCCAGGAGCTTATGGGTCAGGCTCTAATTCCAAAAGTTTTTGCCCTTCCCCCCACCCTTGCAAGCCTCCTGCCACTGCTGCCACACAGGCAGCAAATCCAATAGGCTCCTCGCGCTGTGCTGCCCTACCCCAAAGACCTGGTTGCCACAGCATCAGGAGTAGTGGGGTAGTGGTGGCCAGGTGGAGGCCCACAGGTCATACATTAACCCCTGCAGGCTGGATACAGCCCTGCACTACTGGATCTGAGTGCCTTTTGAGCAGCATGGGCTTTTCTAAACCATTTTGTTTCAGAAACCAATAAGGTTAGTTTGTGTCCTTTAACCTTTGTCTCCGTAGGAGTAGACTTCTGTGCTCTGGATACACACAGCTGTGAACATGAATGTGTTAACACTGAAGACTCATTTGTATGTAGATGTCATCCTGGATACACCCTAAACCATGATGGCAAAACGTGCAGAAGTGAGTGTTTCTCACAGACTGCTGCAGTTAGTCACTGCAGTGGGCTGAGTTTTTAAAAGAATAAGAGTACTCTCCGGAGGCCTTTTTGAGATTTCTTTGTGCTATGTAAATAACTGTAACTGTAACTGAAAAGAGCCAGTTCTAGTGAAGTAATGCTGGTTAGATGCCTACATATGTCCACCCAATAGAGAACTAATGTATTAACCTATAAAATCTTAATAGCAGGAATGATTTAATCAACCATCATGTCTGATATAATGGAAATGTTTAATGTTAAAAATGCATAACTATTGTAAGCTGACATTTGGACAGCAGTACACCGAATAATAACATTTGTTCATAGAGACTTTTTCCCTTCTCAAAGGCTGGTGTGTTTTCTTTGAGGGAGACTTTCCATTAAAAATAGGTTTCATGTTTATAGTAATCATAAAACAATTAAAGGATCAATGTTATTCCAAAAATCTTGCCAAGGCTGTTGATTTGGTTACTTAGTTATCAACAGATACATTTTTTCCCCAGAAGCATTTTGCAAAGTTAAAGTGATACTTAAAAATACAGAACTACATTTTTCTGATGAACCAGTGCTGCAACACTTTTTCCAGATCAGAAAGTCATTTTTTCTTTTACCATAATTACTGACATACTACACACACCCTTTCCCCCAAAATCAGCCCTCCAAAATGGCTGCCACTTGTCCCTGGCCCCAGCGAGCAGAAAGAATGGAGTCCATATTAACTTTCTCAGAGCCATAGCTGTGGGCTGAGTACTATAGTTTAAGCCTTAAAGGAGCAGTGGGCAAGTGGGCTACTACATGTAGTCTGTAGTACTTTGATGAAGCTTGTGGTATGGAAACACTTTGTTATTTTCAGTTAAAAAAAAGTAACAATCTTGCTATTGCCCCTTCTGGAAACATAGTTTCCAGAACAACTCATTCCATGTTACACTGTCAGCCATGACTGGAAAAATATTTTTCTACATTTTGGCTGTGTCTACATGAGATGCTGATTGTGCAGTAGCTCATTACTACTAAACAGTAGCATCACATGGCACGAAGCATGATGTGATGCTACTGCTCAGTAACTCTGGTTAATACTCAGTCTTTTAGTACTTGTGTATGCAAGTAATAAAAAATTGACTGCACAGTAACAACTACGCCTTCAGTGTCTCAAGCAGACACAGCCTCTGCCTTGCAAAACCAAGGTGTATGTCTTATTTGAGAGGCATGTCATTTTAAATATGGCATATGCAAAAGAAATGATAAAATGGTATACTCAAAAGAAAGTGTTGGTGGACTCTGCAGGGTTCTTGGTTGTAGCCGTGTTGGTCTAAGGATGTAGGCAGGCAAGGTTCTTTGGGCAGATGTGGTATCTTTTATTAGACCAACTAAATAGCTGAAAAAAGTTCTTTGCAAGCTTCCGACACAAACACCCTTCCATTTTAGATGGATTCTGCAGCATACAAAATATGTGTATATTGTATTATAAATAAATTAACCTGTTTTGATTTATTCAGATGAGAGTTCAATACTTTACAAAATAGGTTATTGCAGGCTCCCGTAAATCCAGGTTCTTCCATCAATAGTCACTTTGAAAATCTGGGCCTTTTCTTTTTTCATTAAAGTTTTTATTTTTACAGATCAAGCTCTTAAAACATGGCATTGACCTAAGTATCTATTTAGTTTCACAAGTATGATAAATAGCATTTATATTTTATTTCACTGCTACCTAAAATAACATATAAAAAGGTATAGCTTTAGAAAATAGAGTGTTTAAATATTAAAAATGAAATTAATTATATATGTTACATTGGGCATCTCTTTTGTAAAAGAGATTGGAATACAGAGGATTTAATTAGACAAACAGGATGGCAGTTTGTGTGATTTAGTTTTTTTCACATTCCTCTTATATAACTGCTCCAGAACACAACTCTATTTATGATGATGTAAACCCATGGAAAAAAGGAAACTGTGCCATCTGGAGCTTACTATAACTCATAAAAACTTCAGTCTCAGCCTCATTTGTTCAAGTCAACAATATTTATAACTATGTATGATGTTAAGGCTGAACCAGTTCCGGCAAGCTTGTTATGCTTTATATAAAATATATATATATCTTTAAAAAGTCTCCCTACAGAAAGGCTTTCCTAGTCTTAACAGAGCTATCAATAGAAGTATGATAATCTAGCTGACCTTGCATCTGTAAATGATTTGGGGTATGTACAGACATTTGGGGGAGTTAGTGGAAAGTTATGACCGCCTGATCTAAAGTATATCAGGATGGGGGGGCAGTGGAGTCTTTGGGGGATTGCGGGGGGCAAGTGGGGTCTATGGGGGGATCAGGTGGGTTAGCAGGGTCTGCAAGAAGGTTAGGGGGGCAGGCAGAGTCTGTGGGAAGGATCAGGGGGCCTAGCAGAGTTCACAGGAAGGATTGGGGGCAACAGGAGGACTGGTTGGGTCTGCGGGGGGTTTGGGGGGATCAGAGGGGCAAGCAGGTCCACATAGGAGATTGGGGGGCAGGCAGGGTCTGTGCGGGGGGAGGGATTGGGAGGATTGGGGGAGGTCAAGCAGGTCAATAGGGAGGGTTGGTGGGACTGGGAGGGTCTGGTGGGATTGGGGGAGCAAAAGGGTCTACATGGGGGCTTGGAGAGATTGGGGAGACCAACACAGTCCATGGGGGGTTAGTGGGGACTGGAAGGGTTTGTCAGGTTTGGGGGGCAAGCAGGGTCCACAGGGGGCCTGGAGGGATTGGGTGGCTAGCAGGGTCCATGGAGGGTTGTTGGTATCCAGGAGGGTTTGCTGGGATCAGGAGGGCAAGTGGGTCTTCTGGGGGCTATTTTTAGACCCTCAGCTCCTCCTACCCTGAGACAAATAACCCCCCAGTGAACCTACCCCCCCAATCCTGCCCACCCTTCTCCCCACCCCAACTTACTTTGATCAGCTCCTGTACATTGTACATTCACAAATGCTTGCTGCATGAGCTATTGGCTACCCCTTTAGATTGCCCCTTGTTAGTTAGTTCAGACTTTAACCCTAGGTTCATTTCTGTCCCTACACATGCTTTTGGTTTTATCATACCTTTAATGGGACTCATAAAAAGCAAACTGGTTACGTTAAGGATGTTACCTACACTGCTAGTTTTTAATTGTCCCACATTTAATCTTTAACTAATAGTACCTATCTGCAGAATATTTTTAACAGAATTTATTCATAATCCTCTAATTGTTATATGTAGCCGCTTGAAATTTTTAGTTCATGCTTACATTTTTTTTCTGAGAAAAACATGGTCAGCAAGGAGAGATTCTTTCTTCTGAAGGAAGAGAAGAGAAAATGGCTTTGCAGGGCTGGACAGGCTTTCTGAGTTCTCTCTTCCCAGCTGTGTTAGACACAGATACCTGGTATGATTATGGGCCAGATAAAACCATTCTGTGACTCACAATTGTAGTCTGTAAAATGGGGGTTATTAAACCTCCTTGTTAAGTGAGGTATATCATTTTAAGACACTTTATAATTGAGGAACAAATATTAACTCAGATTTCTCAGATGGGATAATGATGCAAATACAGTGTCATTGATTTTTTTTCTTGAAAATCATTTTACCAAAACTCCAGCACTAAGTTCACTGTCCTGACTTTGGTGTTTAAACCTTCAATTTGTTTTCTTCAACTTCTAACATAAATCAATAGGAGTGGACCACTGTGCTGAGAATGACCATGGCTGTGAGCAGCTGTGCCTGAACACGGATGACTCCTACCTCTGTCAGTGTTCTGAGGGATTTATCATTAATGAAGACCTAAAAACCTGTACACGTAAGTCGCTTGATGATCATTTTTTATTCAGAATTAAAGCAGGGGAAAGTGCTAAGAACACAGAAATTGTGAGACTGGTTCTCTCCTGAGATCTATCTAGCCAATGTTCAGTCTTTCATGGTGGCCAAAGATGATGTAAAACTCCACAGAAGCAGTGTGGAGTAATCTACTTTCACATTAGATCTCATCCTGATCACTACTCATTCAGGCTGATTTAAACTCTGAAGCATTACATCTACTATCCTTTTCACAACACTTATCCTTAATTAAAACAACTCAAAATATCTTGATATCCATATAAATGCTCCTTAAAACTTAAATACTAACTTTTTGCTGGGATGAAAATTGACCCTTTGATTTTTCACTTTTCTTTGTCCGTGGGCCACCATCTGCTCTATGACAATGTGTTTGCTTCTCACCTTATAACGACTGATACTAGTAATTTTAAAAAAAGTGAAAGTTAATAACTTATTCCACATCAAATTGTGCTTTCAGCTAAGCAGCTGAGACTGTTAATTTGACCTGGCTAAAATCCAAATATTGTGCAGTAAGGTACATGGAGACGGCTGACTGAGAGCAAATTTGCTCCTAGTCAGCCAGGTAGCAGGGGTCAAGAGTTTGCTCCCTGCCTCCAGGAGCTGCCAGCTGCCAGAGTAGACTCCACCACTGGAGTCTGGGTGGGGACAATGTCCCCCTGCTCCAGCAGCATGGAGCTCCCAGACCCCAATCCATGATCACACAACGGGGGCAATGAGCAATGTCTCAGCCCCCATTCCACAATTGCAGAGCTGGAGCAGGGAGCTCTTTGCAAGGGGAGAGTTCCCCACCCAGCCTGGAGGTGACTGGGACCTGCCCTTGGCTGGGACAGTTACTGTCCAGCTCTGGGCTGCACAGGGAAGTCTGCACATGCAGCCTGGAGGTGGCTGTGGACTGTCCCATTTCAGGCAGTCCCCATCCAGTTCTGGGTTACATGTGCAGACTTCCCTGAACAGCCCAGGGCTGCCCAGGAACTGTCCCGGTCAGGGGCAGGTCCCAGCCCTACAGATTTTTCACAGCCCAATCAGGCAATCAGAGGCAGGGGGCTTGGAAAGAGCTGTAAGGGAGGGACAGGTTCCAGCCCCCTGTCCCAATCTGCTGGTGGGGAAGTTATTAATGAGCCCCTAGCTGAGTGGGAATTCCCTCCTGAAGCCCACCCTGGCAGCAGGCAGCTCCTGGGGGCAAGGAGCTGTCTCCCAGACCCTACCAGGAGACGGCTGTCTCTTGGCTCTGTGCTCCCTGCCAGCCCCTGAGCTAGCACCCAGAGGGAGCCTATAGCTTCCCCTGGCTGCTACAGAGGGCCAGTGCAGGGCCAGAGGAAGTGGGAGCAAACTGCTGCCAGGAGCAGCAAATCTGCTCCCAAATGGGTGCATATGTAGGCCCAGGGTGGGTTTACTCCAGAGTAAATGACTCTAGAGTAAACCCATCCAGCAGCATATGCACATGTAGATGTGCCTACTGTTATCTAAAGTGCTGTTCCAGAAATCTTATTGAGTGCAATTGACCTGAGTGTTGATGACTATCTCAGCCAATGTGTTCTGGCAGTGGGTGGGGACAAGAGGGTTTGTCCCCTTCACAGACCAGTTGCCCGTGTGCTTGGGCAGGGTTGGGGGCTTAATCAGGATACCGAAAAGTAGTCACCAGTGAGGTGTTTTCAGCACATTTGACTTTGTAAAGGTGTTACTTTCTACCTGATAGGCTCTGTTGTGTTGCAAAAACTCACTTGAGGGTTTTTTTTTCCCTTGTGAGGATTGATATTTGCAGTGCTTATTTGCTGAGTTCCTAAAAAGGATTACCTAATTAGTTCATTCAGACTGGATCCACTTTTAGTTCAGACTACAGACATCAACGAGCATATAGTGACAACTGTAGTCCAGATTAAACCTAGAAAATGTGACATCTATAAATGGCCTTAGAGACTGTTTTCAGGCTGCAGTTTTTATTCATAGATTCATAGATTAAGGGTCGGAAGGGACCTAGTAGATCTTCTAGCCCGACCCCCCGCCAGGGCGGGAGAACAACAAAAAACCCCAAAAAGAGAAATGGGACTCAAACGAGTCCAGCCAGGTAGGCATCCAGCCTCTTCTTAAAGACCCCCAGGGTAGGGGCCAGCACCACTTCCATTGGAAGTTGGTTCCAGCTCCTAGCCGCCCTAACTGTGAAGTAGTTTTTGCGGATGTCCAATCTATACCTCCTCTCCATCAACTTGTGCCCATTACTCCTTGTTATGCCAGCGGGCGCTAGGGGAAACAGCGTCTCCCCCAAACCCTTCTGGTCCCCCCTAGTGAGTCTATAGACGGTCACCAGGTCCCCCCTCAGCCTTCTCTTGTGGAGGCTGAATAGGTTCAGGTCCCGCAGTCTCTCACTGTAGGGTCTGCCCTGTTGTCCCCGGATCATGCGGGTGGCCCTCCTCTGGACCCTCTCCATGTTGTCCACATCCCTCTTGAAATGGGGCGCACAGAACTGGACACAATACTCCAGCTGTGGCCTGACCAGCGTCGCGTAGAGGGGGAGGATCACCTCCTTGGCTCTACTCGAGATGCACCTGTGGATGCACGACAAGGTCCGGTTAGCCCTGCCAACCATGACCTCGCATTGTCGGCCCATGTTCATCTTGGAGTCAATAATGACTCCAAGATCTCTTTCTGCCTCCGTGCTCTCGAGTAGGGAGTTCCCCATTGTGTAAGTGTGCTGCTGGTTCCTACTGCCCAAGTGCAGCACCCTGCACTTGTCCGTATTAAAACGCATCCTGTTCCTGTTAGCCCACCCCTGTAACCTATCCAGATCCCTCTGCAATCTCTCCCTCCCTGCTAGCGTGCTCACCTCCCCCCAAATTTTGGTGTCATCAGCGAATTTAAACAGGTTACTATCCACCTCATCATCCAGTTCCACAATCCCTTTGAGAGGAGATGGCTCTAGCCTCAGTTACCCAGACAGTCATGGGTCCAATTCTGTTCTCTCTCTTGCTGATAGGGGTGAAGAGAATACTGGGCCTATGCTGTTCTCTCTACTGTTAGAGATGAGGGTTTTGATGGGTGAGCAGTCTATTATAGCTAAGCAGCCACTGGAATATTTCACCCTCTACTTTCATCAGCTTCTATCCTTCTTGCTCATGTGGACACTTATATAGAACAGTAGGCTCCTGCCCTTAAAATCACATGTGTGTATGTAAGTGTTCTGTTGCTTTACTGCTTACCCAAGAGAAACAAGTCCTCAGGACAGAGTCACTAATTCATTTAGCATAGGAGCCCCAGTGCATCAGAAATTAGACTTGGTTTAGCAACCTTTTCATTTCTTTATGCATCTAATGAGCATTAAGAATCATCGCAGTGTAATCGTGTTTGTGAGCCAAACTGCCATTGGAAAAAAATATGCATAAGGGGCCAAGAAGGAAAGAAAGCTGAATGAATGTCATCTTGTTGACTTTTCCTGGAACTGTCCTTTCTGGTGAGAGAGTTCTGGCAGATTTTGCAGACTTTGAAAGCCACATTACCTCTCAAGCCTCTAAATTTACTGCTTTCCTTTCCTTTGTGCATAGTTTCAGCAGGAATCAGACTACCTCTGTGGAGTTACAGTCACAGAGAGGATCCAGGAGAAATTCAGGAAAAGCAGAAAACAACTTTATCTTCACCCTCTCCTGCCTCCCCACTGTCCATAAAACTCTATCCATCCTTGCAGGTCTCAAGATGAGGGTCAAATAATTTTGCAGGACAAAACTTATGTCTCCTAGGTGGAAGAGGAATAGAAGGATGATGCAGCCCAGTGTTTCTAACTGGGCCAGTTGTTATAGAGAAACAGCCATGTTCTGATTTTAAAAGTTTATCAACTTGCCAATGGAAAGTCCTGTTTCCTTGGTAGTAGAAAAGATATTCTTTTAATCTGACTTATTTTCCTCCAGTCGGTATTTGGATGCCCATCAGGAACTTTGAAGCTGTACAGTGACTTCTGGATCCTTTTGACACTGATTTAGGTCCTCCCTTAATATTTCCTCCTCTTGCCAGCTTATTCACTCTGCACATCATGTTGGGAACAGAATTTGTGCTGCTTCTGAGCTTCAGCTGAGTTGTTAAAATCTCATCATAGACAATTCTCTTAGATTGTCATAAAAGGTTTTTTCACTTTTCGATAGCATAAGTGAGCAGTTGAACAGAGGACTTACCACTTTGCATACTCTACTTCTAGTGTAAAAACATCTGAGAGTCCAGCAACTGGTGCCATACACACAGGCAAGAGTATCTTAAGACAACTGTATCATCTCTGTGATAAACTGATTTCTGCTCTGACATCTAATTACAGTATGCAAGCAGGACCCTGCATGCAATAGACATAAAACAGAGCTGAGTTGAGCACTGCATATGGAACTCTCAAGGCATAATTCTCTGTCATTAAAGAAAATAAAATCCTTATGAAAGTCAAGTGGCCAAGTATAACTGAATTAAAGCCACCTTTATCAGTTATTGTTCTACCTGAAAGTGAACAGGGGCTGACCCAAAGTCCACTGAAATCAACAAGAGCCTTTCCACTGGCTTCTATAGTTACAGGACCAGGCATACAGTTAGTTCTGGGATTCACCATGTATATGCTTTAACATCAAATAAATGTGCACCAACATCATTAAAAGATGAATGATTATGAGGAAATGTCTGTAGCTTTGTTCCTGGATATTGCATGAAATCATAGTAAAGTAGCTTTTATGTTTTTTGAACAAGCACTGAAATAACTGCACTCTGGTTTGCAAGCTATTTTCTTAGTAGACAGGTATTTTTCATAGATTTCATAGATTGTTTGGGGTTGGAAGGAACCTTGCAGATCATCGGGTCCAGCTCCCCTGCCCTAGGCAGGAAGACAACTGGGGTTAGGTGACCCCAGTGAGGTGACTGTCTAGTCTCCTCTTGGAAACCTCCAGGGTAGGTGAATCCACCACCTCTGGAGGGAGTTTATTCCACAGTCTGGACACCCTGACTCTGAAGGAGTATTAAGCCTGAAGCAGCCTTCCAGGAGTTTATATCCATTGGTCCTGGTCTTCCCTGGGGATGCCCTAGTGAACAGTTATTCACTGAGCTCCTGATGCACTCCTCTGATATAGCAGTAAGCCACTACCAATTCCCCTCTCAGCCTTCTCTTCTTTAGGCTAAAGAGGCCATGGCCCCTGACCTTTTCCTCGTACGGCTTGCCTTGCAAGTTCCGGATCATACTGGTGGCTCTTTTTTGGACCTTTTCAAGTTTTTCCATGTCCTTATTGAAGTGCGGTGCCCAGAACTGGGTGCAGTACTCCAACTGCAGTCTCACCAGTGCTGAGTACAGTGGGAGTATCATTTCCTTAGTTTTACACAAGATTCATCGGTTGATGCATGCCAGTGTGTTGTTTGCCCTGCTGACCACCGCCTTGCACTGATGGCTCATATTCATACAATGGTCAATCATTACCCCTAGGTCCCTTTCGGCCGTGGTGCAAGTCAAGCTGTTTTTTTGGGGTTTTTTGTTGTTCTCCCGCCCTGGCGGGGGGTCGGGCTAGAAGATCTACTAGGTCCCTTCCGACCCTTAATCTATGAATCTATGAATCACCGAGCCTGTATGTATGTTGATGGTTGTTTGCCCCCAGGTGGAGCACCTTAGTGTTAAACTTCATCTGGTTCTGGTCTGCCCAACTATCCAGCCTGTCCAGGTCTGCCTGTGTCAGCAACCTATCTTCTGACATGTCCGCACTGCCCCTTAACTTAGTGTCATCCTCAAACTTGGCCAGCGAGCTTTTCACTCCCCCATCCAACTCATTGATAAAGATGTTGAAAAGCACCGGTCCAAGCACGGACCTCTGAGGGACACCACTAGCCACTTCGCACCAGGACAACACAGATCCATTCATGAGAACCCTCTGGGTCCAACCCTGTAGCCAGTTTCCCATCCATTGAACCGTCAAGCAGCTGAACCCACAAATGTCCAATTTCCCATAAGGATATCATGGGAAACTGGATCAAAAGCCTTTTGGAAGTCTAGGTATATAACGTCTACCACGTCTCCTGTGTTCAGGTGGCAAGAGACCTGGTCATAGAAGGAGATGAGATTGGTAAGACAAGACCTATCCGTGACAAAGCCATGCTGGCTGTCATTTAGAATCTTACCTTCCACAAGCATATCACACAAAAATTCTTCAATGAGCTTTTCCAGGATTTTCCCTGGGATGGAGGTTAGGTGGATTGGCCTATAATTGTCCAGGTCCTCCTCCTTCCCTTTTCTTGAAGATGGGCACTATGTTGCCCTCTTCCAATCCTTAGGGATCTCCCGTGTGCACCATGAATTCTGAAAGAGCTTTGCCAGGGGTTCCACGATGACCTCAACCAGCTCCTTCAGCACTCTCAGATGGAGTCCATCCGGTCCTGCTGAATTATAAATGTCTAGCTTTTCTAATTGGTATTGCACCCGCTCAGCATCCACAGTGGGGAGGCTGTCAGTCCTGGCATGTCCTCTATGAGCCTTATCTTGCTTGACTTTCCCCTTGGTCCGGTGAAATACTGAAGTGAAGTGAATATTCAGGAGTTATTTTTTTTCTGAATGCCGGTTACAAGCTGTCCTGAAGTGTTAAGCATGGGTCTCACACTTCCATTTGTTTTCCTTCTACTGCCTACATACCTAAAGAAAGACTTCTTATTGTCCTTGACTACTGTAGCTAACCTAAACTCTGTCACCGCCTTGGCTTTCATGATCATTTCCCTACAACTGCTGGCCGCTGTTGTATAGTCCTCTTTGAGGACCATCCCTAGCTTCCACTGTGTGTACATCTTTTTATTTTTTAAGAGGACTGCAATGCCCCTATTTAGCTAGGAGGGCTTGCCAGCCCTTCTGCTGCCTTTCCTCTTTACAGAAACAGTTTTCTTTTGTGCTTTGAGGATCGTATCCTTGAGCAACGACCACTCTTCATGCACCCCATTTGCCTTGCCTTCCTGTTCCCGCATTACCTCCCCTACTAATGCTCTGAACCTGTCAAAGTCAGCATTTTTGAAGTCCAGGACTTCAATTCTGATGGCTGATTTGTTGACCTTGCGGCAGATGGTGAACCTGATAATTTCATGGTTGCTGTCTCCCAGGCTACCCTGAATGTTCAAGCCACACACTAGATCATCTCCCTTGACCAAGACCAAGTCTAGGAGAGCGTAACCTCTGGTTGGCCCTTGCACTTCCTGGGCCAGGAAGAGCTCCTTGATCATAGTCAGGGAACTGCGTGAATGATCTGACTTAGCCAAGTGTTCCTCCCAATCTATGTCCGGGTAATTGAAGTCACCCATGACAACAAAGTCCCTTGCATGCACGGCCTCTGTCAGTTCTTGAGAGAACTCCAGATCCAGCTCCTCCCCTTGGTTTGGTGGCCTGTAGTAATTCCTCAATTTCCTCAATATTGTTTATGGAACCACTGCAAAACATACCTAAAGACTTTGTTGCAATATCTTAAAGGTATATTTTAGGATGGAGAAATTAATTATTGTTCAAGCCATGCAAGGTATGTGTTTTTTCATATGACCTGCAACACTGTTAGAAATGAGTAGTTACTAATACATAAACCTTTAACTTCTTCCTTTTTTCTACAATTTCAAACATGATCATGAAGGAGTGGACTACTGTGCATTGAGTGACCATGGTTGTGAACATATCTGTGTGAATGGTGAAAAATCCTATACTTGTCAGTGTTTTGAGGGATACAGATTACGAAATGATGGGAAAACTTGTAAACGTAAGTTATCAGACCAATAAGCCTGATGCTGTATTGCTTGTTATATGATTTCTGTATAGTATCATCATATATGCAGCATAAATCAGTAGCTCTGAAATTGGACTGTTAGTGATACAAAATTTCTTTAGTACAGAGTTGCGTTTTTGCAGCAGGCAAGCAATTTCTTTTTCTGAAATCAGGTTAAAAAGTTTAACTGTTTCCAAGGCTCATCTCCTTACATAGCAACCAAGGAGCTTTCAGTATTATTAATGATGTTTCATTTATTTGCCCAAAATATGCAATGGAGAACGATAAAAAGGGTTTGAATAATTTAGGCAAAGCGGTGTGGGGTGGTGGGTGGTAGCACTGTGTCCCCACCTACCTGCATGTACCCCTGGGCCTTCCCAAGTTACCCCTGTGTACCTCCAGTTGACAACCCCTGAGTTGGAGCATGAGCAAACTGAACATTTACCTCCCAGGGGGCTGCTGGAGTGGCCGCTCTCCCCAGCCCAGCACCCCTCCGGCTCCCCTGCCAGCTGATGACTGTCAGCAGTAGCTGTGTGGGGGACAGATCCCAGACCCCTTCTTCCACAGCACGCCCCGCAGCCAGGCAGTGGCCAGAGCTGCAGGAAAAGGGGTCTGGGGCCAGTGCTGCTGGAGGGACACAGACCCCAGGCCCCTTCCCCTGCAGCCTCCCTGGCCAGGCAGCAGTGCACCACAGGGCTGAGGCTGCTGCAGAGACACAGAGCCCTTTCCTCCACAGACCCCCTGGGCTGACTGGGAGGGCTGCCCAGCCAAGGGGGTGAGGTCTGGGGTCTCTCTCCCTGCAAAAGCCCTGGCCATGCAACAGCCACAGCCACACAGTGCACCACTGCCTGCCTAAGGCCAGAGTGAAGCCTTGCACAACACTGCCTGGGGTGACAGTGATCGTGTTCTAAGTTAACCCTTTATGGGATCTGGCACAGACATTTGATAAAGCACTCTAACAACACAAGTTTTAGTCTAAAACTCATCCATCAAGGGTTAACTTAAAGGATAATCCACTGTTTTCAAAAGACTCTGAGAGACACGCACGTCTGTTCAGTTACAGCTTCAGGGTGCTTTTCTGCATGCTTAAAGCAAAATAGATATAACATCTTTACCTAGCCTAGAATTTTACATTTTTCCCCCTTAATAAAATGGTTGTGAATAAAAAGGCGTCTGTTACGAAAGATGAAAAAGTCAGTGATGGCTGGGAACACATTGCTTGAGCGATTCCACTAATTCAAGGACATACTGAACTATGCACTCTTTTACTGGAAAACTATGACTGTGTTTATTAGGCATTTTAACTAGCAAACTTTCCTAACCATCTAAATTATTACCAGGTAAAAATGTTTGCAAGTCGGTCAGCCATGGTTGTGAGCATACTTGTGCTAATATTGGCAATTCATATGTCTGCAAATGCCGTGAGGGATTCACTCTGACAGAGGATGGGAAAACATGCAAAAGTAAGTAACTGTTTTGTCTTATATTTGTATGTGTGAGGCAGACAAAAAAAAAGCAGCGGAAGAATTTCATTGCTTTTTTTACTTTATGGGATTTGCATTTATACCTCTGTTTTAATTAGGAAGCAGTATTAAATATCTAAACTATTCCCAGGAAAAGACATTTGTAAATCAGTGAATCATGGCTGTGAACATGTGTGTGTTAATGCTGATAATTCATACATCTGCAAGTGCCATGATGGATTTGCACTAAGAGAAGATGGGAGAACTTGCAGAAGTAAGTATCTAAGCAGCCTGATCTTTGATAGAATATTAACTTTGTAATGTATGCATCTGTAGAAGTGTTTTAACTAGCAAATGCCTCAATTATTTTCAGATAGAGATGTTTGCAATTCAGTTGACCATGGCTGTGAACACGTTTGTGTTAGTGGTGACAATTCCTATACTTGCCAGTGCTATGATGGATTCATACTGAGGGAAAATGGGAAAACCTGTAGAAGTAAGTAGCCATATATTTGCTGGGTCTTCAGCAGGAAAAGAAGAAGTAACTTCACAGCCCTTTCAGTCTACAATAATTATTCTTATCACTGTAATCTGTATTTCTATAAAGAGTGTTTTAGCTAGCCAACTGTATTAAATGTCATCTAAACTATCCGTAGACAAGGACATCTGCAAGTCAGTCAACCATGGCTGTGAACATGTTTGTGTTAATACTGATGATTCATACATTTGCCAGTGCCATAAAGGATTCCAACTGAAGGGAGATGGGAAAACATGTCGAAGTAAGTAGCTTGAGCTCCACTGTAGATTGGGATTTCACAGCCCTTCAATGGACGATTATTTTTAGAGTAATAAGGCCAAAAGGGAACTCTGTGATAATCTAAACTAACTTGCCTAATACAGACCATAGGCCTTTCCTGAATTAATTATCTCAAGTAGGCATTTCTTTAAAAAAACAGCCAATCTTCATTTGAAAATTGCCTATGATAAAAAATCGACCAAATTTCCCTTAGTGAATTGTCCCAACGGATAATAATTCTCCACATTATAAATTTGCCTCCTATTTTAAATGTATCAACTTCCACAGAATCATAGAAAATTAGGGTTGGAAGGGACCTCAGAAGGTAATTTAGTCCTTCCCACCCCCACCCCCTTATCAGACAGCCCTCACTGCTCTAGCTAGAGAGCCAGGGTTGGAGCCAGCCCTGCTGGAGCAGATATCCCAGCCCAGCCCAGCCCAGAGCTACAAGGCATGGTGGGATGCTGGGGGACTGTGATTTAATTTAAACCAGGAAGGGGTCTGGGACAGAAGTTACATAAGCCGGTTTGACCTCAATGAATTAAGTCTGTCTGATAGTACATTCAACCAGGTTTATCATAAACCAGTTTCTGTCATTTTGAAACTGGTTTATGTACACTTAACTTCTGTTCTGTTACAGGTTTAAACTAGTTTCTGATCACTTAAGCCAGTTTCTGTGTAAGTTCTGTCCCTAGTCCAAGAAGATTGCTTTCTAAATGAAGGCAATCCAAATGATGCATTTCCCTCTTTTTTACATGTAAGAGATAAACTAATGTCCCACATAAATAACCATCTAACATCACACAAAAATCTACAGATTCACTTCCAGATATTCTGCTTCCTATCTCCCTTTACTTGTATAATTAGCCCTGTAAGTTTATAAAAATATTCCATTAGGAAACTGCATTAAACATTATCTAAACCATTCCCAGGTAAAGACATCTGCAAATCAGTCAACCATGGCTGTGAGCATGTTTGTGTTGATAATGACGATTCGTATATTTGCCAGTGCCATGAGGGATTCATACTGAGACAGGATGGAAAAACATG